CATCCATGTCCTTGGCAAGTTTTAACAATAATACAAACACTCACTCGGAATTGACCGCCATCTCCATCATCAAGCTCCAAGATATAACCTTCCACTGGATTGTGGGTAAAAGGTGGCATCCTCCAGGCCAGCGTCACACTGTTGTTTCGGGTACAACACTTCTCCAGCTGTAGTAATGGGACTGGTGGCACTGTAATGGGAACTGGGTATAGATTAGTGTAATTCTGTCCTCACCCATTAGACTCTGTTGTCAGCAATATGATGATCCACCACTTCACTGACCTCCCTATTAATCCCCCTCTCTTACCTCCCCATCCCACAAGGTAGCCAAAGTTACTTGCAGATAGAGCAGGCCAGAAAAATATGTTTTCCACATGGGAAACTTCAGGTTTTCACCAAAAAGTCTATGCCAAGCATTTCATTACCTGATACCAAATATTTAAGTACTACCACAAGTACCTCATGGAAGTTGTAGTTCAGATACAAGATCTCCATTCTCCTCAGATGGTCAGAGTCCCTGCCAGACTACATCTCTTATGATGCACAATAGTCTTTCCTCTTCGAGGTACATGGTGGGACTGGGGGAGGGTGTCACACACTACCACATATCATAGGACTTGTAGTGTGGCCAGGAAGCCCAGTCCTTAGAGAAGACTAGAGACATGAAACGACCAAACTTCAGCACCCACGAGGTACTGTGGCAGCCTATCAAAACTGAAATATTTCTGTACAGGGTTATTTTGGTTTTGAATACAAAAAATTGAAAGTTCTCACAGAAAGCAAATTTCACAAAAAAAATTGTTTAGTCAAAAACCCACTTTTTTGGTTAAAAAAAGTTTCAGGAGAAATGTAGAGATACTATTAAGCAAAATTGTTTCATTTGAATCTTTTATCTGAATTGCTGTATTCAGGTAGAGAAAGGTGATTTTTTTAGGTTACAGGAGTTTGATGTTGGCTTCATCCATTTGAAAACTATAAAAGTGAGGCTGATACTGCCTGTACTGATTGATCCAGGACAATATTGTTTTACTATTGACCATGCTCATATTTCAAAAATAAAAATAAGCTTAGCAGAACATTCAGCCATGCTTCTGTGGGGGAGGTGGGAGGGGGAACATGCATGTCGTCTGTCTATGCCTCTACACCAACTTACTTCACTTGTCTAGCATCACAGCATCTTTCCACTCTCCCTTCACTGGAATCAGTCTACAAGAACCCTAATTTAGGCTGAATTACATCCTTGTACAGAAAACTAGTGCAAGGTTTATGCACCACTTAAATCCCAGGGCTTTAGTGGAATGTAGTGACATGGAGGCCTTGGTCTTTCCTCATGAGGCTGATCATCATCATTAGGGCTCAGTTCTGCAAAGTTCTGGCAGCTTCCTACAAGATGCAGAGGGCTTTCAAGCAGGGTGTGGTACCCTCCTGATTCAGTAGACATACTATATTAAACTGCTAATGGGGCACCATGTGCTAGCAATAGCAATCTCTGCCCTAGCACCACAACCCTAATTCTGGCTGGAGAGGAGGAGAGGCCCAGGGAGGGATGGAGGCTAAAGAGCAAGCCCACCCCACACTCCGATCACAGTGGCAGCTTCGATCCTGTGGGTGTGGGTTCCACACCAGATTCTGGGTGTTGTGACTTGGAGCACAGGATCACATCACCACTCAGGTTGCCAACAAGCCTTTAAAGAAGCAGCAATGTTATCTAGTTTGCTATGTACTGTTAAATAGACGAGACACAAGTCTCATTCCTTCCTCTCCAACCCTTCTGGCCCAGGACACCTTGACTTCAAAAGTATAGAGCTCATATCTTCTGAGGCAAAGAGCTGGGGAGCAGGTAGGAATGGGCAGAGCTTTGGCTTCTCTCCCCCAGCCCTAGCTGACCTCAGTGGAAGGAGCAATGTGCTCCTGGTACGAGCCAGTAGCAGATTGCTCCAGGAGAGTGGCAAAGGGGGAACAAGGAAGGACTTGTTCTCTCTGTCTATAAATACATGAAAGGGAGATGAATGATTTAGAGCAGCACACTGGACTGTACCTAAGAGCAATAGCACACACTTTAAAAAAAGGTAAATGGGGAGGAAAAGAGAACACTCTGTTGTTAAATTACTGAACTGACCCACTGCTTGTGCCACTGAAATCCATACTGTAGGAAGCACTGAAAAAATGCTGTAACAGTATTGCCCTGGCAGGGAGACAGAGCAGATAGCTAAACACATTTTTTTCCATTGCAAAATGCTATGCTGTTGTAACCCTGCGCTTCTATAAATGAAGCAGGCAAGAGATCCTTGGGGTTCTAGATGACCACTGTGTCGCTGATGTCTCATGTCAAATTAGAAGCTTAGTCACACCCAATTCAACCCATCCCACAGCTCCTTCCTCTGTTCGGACAGAGTTGGATGTTCAAAGGCTCTGTTTTGCTGTTTGTCAACCTGTGTAGTACACTACAATGACTTTTCCCCCAGGCTAAACCATAGGGGAATTGTTTTCAGCAAGAAAGCAATCCAATGAGCTTTAGACCCTCTTATCCCTCCCCAATCAGCTAGCTTGACCGGCTAATATCTTGAGTCACCTCTTGCTGGAAACACAATGTGATCAGCAAGCAAGAGAACAAGGTTACATTCAGATACCTGCCTTCACTCTGCCATGTCCTTAAATAAAAAGATAAAACTAGCGATGAAGCCACTCCTTTGGATTTTTTCAAATACCAATTCATTCTTTTTGTTGAGCCTGAGTACTGAGAAACTTGCCAGGTGCTGGGGCGGGGAAGGGAATAGGAGGGAGTCCCCACAGGAAGATGTGGGTGGGGTGATCATGGTGGCTGGGTAGGGACGGCAGGAGGGAGGTACATTCCTAGGGGAGAAGAACCAGACAGGTTGATATTTAGAGCTCTCCGGGTAGAAAGTGGCCTCTGGTGGGCCCCAGCTGCTACCCAATACTGCTGCCTCTGTATCAGTGGCAGCAATGCGGAGTTTTAAGCTGCCTCCTTGCACACACCAGCTCTTCGGGAGCCAGCTGCCACTCCACCCTGCAGGTGTGCTGTAACCATGTAACTGATGAAAATTTCAACAATTACACTGTTACCCAATTTCAACATCCCTACCACATACCAAAAGTGATTTTAAGCATTTGTATCCATTCTTCATTTTGCAACTTTCTGGGTATGTCTACACTACCACCCTAGTTCAAACTAGGGTGGTAATGTAGGCAACCGGAGTTGCAAATGAAGCCCGGGATTTGAATTTCCCGGGCTTCATTTGCATCTCGCCGGGCGCCGCCATTTTTAAATGTCCGCTAGTGCGGACTCCGTGCTGCGCGGCTACACGTGGCATGGACTAGGTAGTTCGGACTAGGCTTCCTCGTGAAATGAGGAGTAACGGTAGTTCTGTGTAGACATACCCACAAACACTAATCCCATCAATATTCCAGCATTCAAGAACAGATCTCTGGTCACACCTTTAGCGAAAACAGAGAGAATATGGTGAACAGTCTCAGCTAGTCATGGAGAAGGATAGGGATTTCAGACCATGGCAAGCAGAATATATAATGGAGGGAAGAAGACTGAGAAAAGGAAAGAGATGTGGGCTAGATCAAAATGACATCAAATATTTAAAATGGTGTGTCTTACAGTGCCTCAACATATCCCTTACGGTGCTAAGTTATTGCTAACAGGCTATCCAAGAGCCACTCCTACGATTAAGCATCATTACAGTACAGTATCTCTGTGCAGTAAATCTGCAACTGTTTGTATTTCTCATTGTTAAGGAAACTCTGCCTGATCTTTATTTACTGAGATTAGTTTTTTTATCTGAAGCTTATCCTTAGGCCACCAATAAGATACATGCACAAGTTCCCACCAGGGCTAATTTACTACAATCTGATTTCATTTTCATTCTGCTTTGTCGAACATAGTACATCAGTGTTTGTTTATGAGCAGACATTCACCTCCCATTGACCTATGCAAGCTCAGTGATGCAAGCTCAGGCCAGAGATTTGAAAAAAAAAGAAAAGAGATTTCAGAAATTCAAGTATCTACAGGTGCTGATGACAATGTTCCATTCCCCAGTGGGTAGGGGGAGGAAGTTATTTTTCACAGTTCTCTCCTTGTCTCTCTCCCCTTCCCTCATCTTCCTCATTCGGACATGGACAGCTTCGTTTCCTACTCCAGTTTCCAATCTTCATGTACCAGGGTGTAAACAAACATATAGAAAAACAACTTGCAGTTAAAATGGTCAGTCTGGTACATTTTCCCTTGGGATAGTACCTGATCACCCTTCTGGTTTAGCTTTGAATGTCATTAAAGTGCCTTCTGCATATGCTGTTCCCAGACCAAACAAAACAGGGAGTTGACAGAATTCCCATATGACACCAGAGCACATGGCAAAGACTGATTGCTCTCTGGTCCAATGTGGTGAATGGGACTGGTTTCAGGAGGGGCATGTATTTTTATGAGACTACAAATCCAGGGGTTATTCTGTATGTTGCTTGTGGAAAAACAACAAAGCCTCAACATGTAGGCTACGTCTACACTGGCACCCTTTTCCGGAAATGCTTAAAACGGAACAGTTTTCCGTTGTAAGTATTTCCGGAAAAAGCGCGTCTGCATTGGCAGGATGCTTTTCCAGAAAAGCACTTTTTCCGGAAAAGTGTCTGTGGCCAATCTAGACGAGCTTTTCCGCAAAAAAGCCCCGATCGTCATTTTCGCGATCGGGGCTTTTTTGTGGAAAACACTACTGTGCTGTCTACACTGGCCCTTTTCCGGAACAGTTTTCCGGAAAAGGACTTTTGCCCGAACGGGAGCAGCATAGTTTTTCCGGAAAAGCACTTATGATTTTACAGTAGATCGTCAGTGCTTTTCCGGAAATTCAAGGTGCCAGTGTAGACAGCTGGCAAGTTATTCCAGAAAAGCGGCTGATTTTCCGGAATAAGTGGCCAGTGTAGACACAGCCGTAGTGCTGTCTTCCCAGTCTATTTATAGACCCCTGTTTCTTGCCACTCTGATTGTTGTCTAGTAAAACATGATCATTTATTTTTATCAATATGAACTATTTGAAATAGTTCCTTTCATTTCTACACACTGGGCCATCTAGATAGCAAGCACTTCAGATTCTCAGTATGTGAATGAGATGTAGCATAAAGCTGTTTTAAATTTTTAGACACTAAGGAACCAGCAGGGAAGGTAGAGATGGC